GGTTATTGTTACATTTTAAATAGTTAATATCATCTTTTTTTAGTGTAATTGTTTATTATACTTTTACATTACACTTTTTCTCAAAAAAATTACATTTTTTCTTAATATATTAAAGGGTATAATGGTTAATCAAGATTAAAAAAAAATGTAAATTTAGTAATTAAAAATGTGACAATAACATCACCCATGTAATCTTTATATGTCTTATTTTTAGTTAGAATAATAATAAATTAAATTAAATTTAAGATCAATATTTGAGATTAATAATATAACATAAATCATATTATTTTAAATATTAAAAATAAATTTTATATTATTTAATAATTAATTTTTTTAATATCAATTAATTTAATAATTTGATATAAACTATATTAACCTCAAATTTTCATACTAAATTTTTCGCCCTCCCCGCCATTAATTGTATTTCTTATTTTAGTTAAATTGATTTATATCCTTCTAAGTTCTAACCACTACCACTTTGACTAGATTCTGTTGCAAGAATTATATATATACCATTTTTTGTGGTTTTTTCGCGGTTTGACATTTTCTTCAATCCAAAATCAAAGTTTTCTAAAATCAGAATTGCGTCCATCACTATATATAATCGAATCAATCATAAACGCAAAGGAAAAAAAGAAAAACAGCTCTCATAATCGCAGAAGAAGCCTATCCCCGTCAGTAATGGCTTCTCTGCAATCTTTCTTGTATGTTGCAGTAGTCGCCGTCTTAGTCCTCTCCCCTTCACGAGCAACGGCGCTCAAAAGATCGACACCTATGCAGGCGGCTCCATCCCCTCTCGTTGAGAGCGTCTGTAAAAGCAACGCCGTCGGCGACTATAACTCCTGCGTCAAAGCCCTCAGCTGTCCCCAAGCTGCCGCCGCGACCAACCCCAAGGCTCTAACCACGGTTGTTCTGAAATTGGCAAGGGAGGATGCGAAAGCCACCATTGGTCAAATCCTCAATCTTTTAAAGACGGGACCTTCCCCGGCGCTAGATCAGTGCTTGAAAAACTACCAATCCGCCGTGAATTCATTCAAAATGGTAGCCAATGAACTGAGGGAAGACCCGATGTCCGCGAATTACGACGTCAAGGTTAACACTGATTTAGCAGACGAATGCGACCGAGCATTGGCCGCCGCTAGGGTTACTGCACCGCAACTCACCGCCGCAAACCAATCTCTGAGGCGTTTTGCCATGATTGGTTTTGAGGTGACAAGTCAGCTGCAGTAAGAGGTAGCAGAGGAAGGCATGACGGGCCTTGTGTGGTTATTTTTGTCCCGTGTTCTTCCGGGGGCTCTGTGATGCTCTCTATTCATTAATTCATTTGGAGAGATTAAAAGTATTTTATTAATAACCAAAAGTTGGGACAAAGATTGTGTAATGTTTCTAAGGTGGCATTTGTTTTTGTTCTGTAAAATTCAATTTTGAAACATATTGTTTCTCAAGGGCTTCTGCATTTTAGTTTTTAATTTTAGTTTTTATAAACTCTACCATTGCCAACAATACATTTGGGTTGTTAGAATGGAGAAAAGAGAAAAGAGAAAAAATTCTCTTATTTAGTTATTAAAAGAATTAAACATAATGATAAGAGAATCAAATCTTTTATTTTATTTGTTTAATTTATTTATTTACCTAAATAAAGAGAGAAATAAAAATATATAATATTTATTTTTTTTTTATTTTCTTTAATCTAAACATATGTTAAAAATTAAAATTAAGAGTAAAAAA